AGAACGTACCTCTTACGTGGTCCAGGGGTCACACCTAGAACCGGCTCTCATCCAGAACCAGGCTTCTTCCCTCCGGCGATAGTTCATTGGTACCAGGCTTGTCTAGGGACGTCTGGGAGGATAAAACACAGACTTTAACATTGATTACCCAGGTAATTCATCGCATAGGCCAGATCCCTTTCAAAAGCATCCTAAAAGTGATTCGTCGACGGTGAGTGTTATAACTGTCGAGTTTTTGATGCAATAAACATTTGCGACGTTCTGCTGACCCTCACAGTACTAAGATGACTGTTTGATATTTGTTAATTAATAGTCTTTATTGAAATAAGAAGTTGAACTTGGCATGACCTCATGGGAGAGCCTTACACTGTCGTTGATTCAGCTTCTTTCCGTTGACATTGTGATGGATGTTGGACGAAGCTTGAACCCAGCTGTAGATATTGGCCAGATTGAAGGTGCATTCATGCAGGTGATTATTTTACTACAGTACTCAACGCTTCGTGATTTTATCAGCTCTGAAGGACCTATTCGGCTAATACTGTCCTAAATTTGTAAAAGAGATATCCAGTGTCCTGGTTGTGAACATAGCACTGGTCGTAGTGACATTCTCCGTGGAGGGGGGGGGAGGACGTACTGACGCCACCATTCCACACACCACGATGCTGTACCCTGCGTGCCGTGCAGCGATTCGCAGCCAACTCACTATGGGTACCAATTTGTCGATTGGAGCAACGAAACTCGTATGAAATCAATGCTCACCAGTGCGACCTTTTACGACTGTCTTGTCACAAATCTCATTCGTAATCAGGTATACCCCCTACAGTGAAAATTTCAGAAAAAAATTTTCCTCTTGGTGCAGTAATATTCAGGTTCTACCACTTTACTTTCTTTTTCTTATATCCACTGCATACTATTAATTTTTATTGCACGGTATTACAGAGTTATGGCAATTTCACATGTGAAGAGATAACATATGATGACAAAGGGAAACTTGTTGAAGATTCTTTTGATAAGTACAAGTTACCCACACCCACAATGACACCAAAAAGGTGCGTTTGAGAAAGGTGTGATTGTGAGGTATTGAGGCGTACTGTGGTACTCTCTCTATATTCTGCGTTTTCTACACCTATGTAGTGATTTCTTGCAGGTTCCGCGTCAAACTGCTCAAGGAGTCGGACTGCTTTGAGGGACAGGTTTATTCTTCGAAGGTAATCATTTGCTGTTTACCACAGCAATCACCTACCACTGGTGCTGCACTTCTAAAGTTGGAGTGCTGTGGATGCTAAGCGGAGAGTTGCACAGTTGCTATCGCCGCAATCAGTCGGGGTGGAGCCATGAATGAGCAGACTCGCGGCACTTTATATCTGCTTCTTTTTTTCCAAATCCATCATGGACGATCACTGTTGGTAGAAAATGCAGCGCTGGGTAGGCTCACTCCGTTCCTCCTGACACCGCCCCGACTTATTGCGAGGGTATCAACACAACTGCTACTTGCTATACTCTCTTGTAGCAGCTTTTCATTACTGTCTGCTATCGTGCAGTAAGGTTATCCTTCTTTTGACAGACGATTACTTTCAGGGTGTTGGAGAACCGCCGATGATGCTTGCCGTTGGCACTTATGCATCACTTCGATATGCCATCACAGCACGACGTCGAGATCTTGGTAAAACGGATTTCCTGGAAGTCAGGGCTCCCTTAACAGCTTCAAGAATAGTATCGTACTGCAATGCTAACTGAAATTGCAGTCATGATTTTGAAAGCAGGCGAATGCGTTAGCTAGGAAGTGGGGCGGCAGCTTAGACCTCATTGATTGAGGGGCTTAGCCACATCCCTAACGCAGGAGGATAGTGAGGAAACGTTCTCGCTGCGGCTGCTAAGGACGCCCCCCCTTGCCAATGACACGCTCTGAGGAGGGCGCTCCGCTTGCTGCCACTATGCCTGACCTTCATGAATCAGGCTATGATGCTCAAACCATAGGGCTTTGTGAGAATTGATTGGAGCGCCAGCGGAGCTTGTCCTCCAGCAATTGTGTCCGAAGCTCAGAATCAATCAGGGGAGTGGAAGGTCTGGCTCGCTCACCAACCACATTGTCGCAGTACATTCGCTTGGCAGCGCTTCACAATACACCGCTCGCCACGCCCTATCATTTGCGGGGGTCATGGCTGTATATAAATGCAGGTAATTGGTAATAATGAAAAGGACATCATAATAAATGTCATGAGCAGGTATTGTAATGTAGATACGTGTATCAATAAAAAATGTTATTTTGAACTTGGAGTTGTTCGTAGCGTTTCTACTTGAAGGTTAGATTATTACTAATTAGGGAGCACGTCGCGTCTTTATAAGAAATGTGCTGATTACTACTCTTTGTGTGGCTCACTTTATTTGTGGGCCATGTACTGATAAGTAACTAAAAATTAGAAGTAGAGCTGAAGGCCATATGCAGTATGCATGTAACCCTAGACTTCAGAATGGTTGTACCCCCTTCCGACACTCCCATCCCTTCGCGGGGCAGCTTCGATAATCCCCTACAAAAGGTATGACCCTGTTGTAGAGACCCTATTCAAAGAAGCTATGACACCCATCTTGTTATACACCTTCATTGGGTAGTATATCCGTTGAATCAGGTGTATTTAGAGTACAGGTCACGCGTAAATGACTGTACGCTTGGAGACCAACACAGGGCGGAGTCACTTGTGCTTAGGTGGAGCTTCTTGAACCACCTTGTGCCCTAACACCTGTACTATATAAACTTCTGACGAGAAACTAGCACAAAGTTGACCATTGCCCTGCACGTTACCTCACGCAGCTTTGACTGTTATAACTCATCGCTAAGTTTCACTTTAGGAGAACACAGGATTCACTCCAGCCAGTTTTAATAGTGGCTTCAGTCAAAGGTAACCCTGAAAAGGTTACGGAAACTTCCCACTCTTACCTTTCTGACACATATCACGCTCGTGATATGGGCGGAGACTAACCTATCGTGGCGCCTATTGGTGCGCTCTCCCTTCTAAGGTAGCCAAAACGAAGTACGCGCCAATGGGCGCCATGGAAGGTCCGCCCACACGCATACCGGCACCGCGATATATGCCTTTAATCTGAAAACGGCCCTATCTTATTGCATAACCGGACCACATATACTAAACAAATATGTTCCGTGCGAGTTTCTGGTAGGAACAGAGTTTTGGGATAATACTGTGACTTCGGGTCAGACATTAGATCTCCCATATGTTACAGCCAGCATTGAGTTGAAATGATTTACTTTTATGCAAACAACATCGGATAAAAATGAGTATATACACAATTCATACGTAAATTCTCATAAATTTGAAAAAAAGTGTTCATTTGAGTCACCACCGTATCGTACATTATAATGCAAAATGTTGTAAATCAAAAGGTTACCAGAAAGACACATCACGATCACCAGTCTGACCCTACATTACCAATGTAGACGTTTAGTTGAGTGTTTGACGTCGCATTTTCGAGCAATGGAGCAGTACTCTGCAAGTACTGAACTGATTATTTATCCAAGGGCACAAAAACAGGACTATAGCTAGATCCAGCGCGACGCCAGCTAATCCTCCACAATGTAAAAAATGGCCTGATCTAAACATAGCCTCCTCCATGACAAGCTCGAGTGTTCGCAGTGAGCAGTAACTGTAGTTGTGAGTGGTTTACTAAAAACTGGTGACGTTCTGAAAGCGCATGAATTAAAATTGCTTTGAAAATTATCCACTACCATGTTAGTGTCAAGTTGTCCTTGACTTTAGTATCACAGTAATAGGAAGTAAAATAGTAAAATGTACTCGACATAGCGTGGATAAGAGGATGTACAGAAGAATCAGCACTAGATTGACAAAAGAGTTTTCTCCCAGAAATCAGGAAAATTTGCTTGTTCCTGCCTGTGGACATCCCTGATCGGATGCTGAGGGACCGAGGTAAAAAGTGAGGGGTAGTGGATAGGTAGAAAGACCGATGTGGGATTTGTTACGAAAATAACGAAGCGGCAAAGAAAAAAAATTCCGACCTGCTGGACCTGCGGAAAAGGAGGTGCATTTGAACAGGGGAAATGCCTTACAACTAAGCCTGACGCTCGCGAAGAGTCCTTTCCCTCACAATCTAGCGCTGAGCGCTCCCTTTGAAAGAACCCTTCGCCGCTATGGTTGATTTCAATTTTTTTCCCACATTCGCTCTCTATTCTAAGGTTCGAAAGCGGAAGTGAATTGATTTCGGCACAGTTTGGCTTGATGGGGGCATCAAATGGTACTCAGCAGAGCTTGCACAGACCTACTTCAGTTCGGCAAACTCTCCTGACCAAAGTGGCTCATTCGTGATGTGTGAGGTCAGTTAGCAACTATTGGTAGTGGCGCCAGGGTTAGAAACGAAAGTCATATTTATGATCAGAGCATAAATAGCCCCCACATTGAAGCTCAGCAAAAAAAGTTTCCTGAGTCTTTACGGTAATAATAACTGAACGGTGCCGGAGAATCTAGCCGAGGTGCGCGCGAAATGGCCTCCTCCCGTCTACGTCGTACAGCCGCTACAGTTTTTCTCAACTCTGAGAAGTAGATGGATGTACATTGATCATTCATAATAACTGGCTCGCCAGGCTATCGAGAGTGCTAACTTGATTCAATACCCAGTGACGTAATTAAGCGAATCTCACCTGATTGAGCGCGTTATGTACACATTGCATAATCTGCGCCCATTTCTCACGTGTGAATAGATTACGGTATTCGGGTTGTTGTGAGATGTCGTCCAGTTCTTGGATACTAGTCGTCATCATCAACTGACGCCTGAACGTCGCATCTCTAACGAGCAATTGTCGCCAACGACCTAAACAATGATCGCTATAAATCAAGACGAAGAGGATTTGAAGGTTCAAATCATCTTATTGATTCTCATATTTGACCCAGAAAAAACTATTACCAGTTCTGATAGCACAGTATGAGAATAAAGCCCTTGTAAGCAAGGCAAAAAGATGGGGGACGAAAATGCGTTCTTACGGGCCTGGAAGCTGCTGCATATTTCCGTGCCGTTCTTGTGCAAATGCCTAGGCCTCACTTCCCTTTGAATTCAGCAGCATTGAACTTGGGAACGCCCTTTT